CACACACTCACCCATATACCCTAAGTCCATTTAGCTGTTTCTCCTAGTGGGAAGCAGCCCAGGGCTGGCCATACCTACTTTGGAAGAGGCTGCTCTTATAGACTGTTTCTATTGTCTCTTCCCTCCTGAATGCTGCCATCAGGGATCCATGCAGTGTAGAAACTTGTGTGTGGCACAGAACCTTCACCCCGGTGTCTACTTGTACAGGTCTCACCTCTAGTCACCAGAGAGGAGATGAATAGAAGGAGAAAAAAAAGTACTCTCACTTTTGTCTCTGTAAATTGCCGATAGGGGTTTGTAATGGCCGTGCTCTCTTTTCACTAAGCAACTCCCTCCCGTTCAAAAGGGTTGCAGTGGGACACGTTGGCCGCTCCAAATCAGAAATAATCTCCTTCCTTGCTTCTGTTCCTTAGCTCTCTCCTGGTAAGCACTCAAGCCACTTATTTATCCCTTTATCAGAAGCTCCCTCAGACTTCTGGGACTATCCTCTTTATCTGTTCCTTCCAGTTTTCTGTGTTTTGCACAACTTTTCTGCCTAGTTCACTATCAAGTTCCTTATTGCTCATAGATTTGAAAACTGGGGTCCAGTGATCACATCATGTATTTGCTGTTATATCTTTTTAGTCTCTTAATTGATTATGTCATTTTAGTCTCTAAATATAGAAAGGAAAACTAAATTAAACAAAAATTTACTGTCATTGAGTCAATTCTGGCTCATACTGACATTTTATAGCGTTTCCAAGACTAAATCTTTATGGGAGGTGACAGTGTCATCTTTCTGAAGAGTGACTGGGGGCTTGAACCACCAACCTTGCAGTTAGCAGCCCAATGCTTATTATACAATGCCACCAGAGCTTAAAATCTAGGAAAAGCCCTTCAACTTTTTTTGATAACTATATAAGGAGCTCTGGTAGTGTAGTGGTTACGAATCGGGCTGTGAACTGCAAGGTCAGCAGTTCGAAACTACCAGCTGCTCCGCGGGAGAAAGATGAGGCTTTCTGCTCCCGTAAAGATTTATAGCCTCGGAAACCCTGTACAGGGTCTCTATGGGTTGGAACCAACTCCACGGCACATAGCAACAACAACTTTTATAGAGGCCAGGCCAGATAATTCTAGAATGCCCCACTTTGGGTATTGTTATTTTCTCTTGATGTTATTGAATTTATTCCTGTATTCCCTATATTTGACATAAACTGGAAGAGTTTGAGTTGTTAGATTGGAATTACACATTTATTGGTAGTGTTGTGTCCTTCACGTTGCATCATGTGAGGAGGCAAGTGTCAGGGTTCTCTCACCTGAGCAGGTGAGAATTACCAGATTTCTTAAAAGTCAGATAATCACTGCTGTGTTACATAGGTACTTTGTGAATGACCTGTTCCCTAAAACTCTTACATACTTAGGTTTTTAATATCTGTAGGTGGATTTAAGGAGCCCTGGTGGTTCAGTGGTTAAGCACCAGCTACTCCACAGTAGAATGTGACAGTTCGTATAAAGATTGTTGTTATTATTGAGTGCTGTCTAGTTGATACAGTACCAAACCCTGTACAGTGTTTTTCTAGTAGCAGCTGGTGAGTTTGAACCGCCAACCTTGCGTTTCTCAATCCAGTGCTTATCCTACAATGCCACACCAGGAGTTCCTTATAAAGATTACAGCTTTGGAAATCCTATGGGGCAGTTCTTCTCTGTCCTCTAGGGTTGCTATGTATTGGAATCAACTTGATGGCAATGGGTTGTTTTGTTTTGTAGTTAGATTTTGCAGTGGAAATAGCAAAATGGTGAATTTTCTTTTTATGTCTTTCAGCCTGCACTTAACTTAGTGGTTGGCATTCTTTAAGAACTTTCCTCCTTCCTCTTATCCATTTTTTGCCACCCCAATTAGTATGGACTCATGGAGTAAAATGGACTTCTGAATTAAGATTTACTAATTTAATGTGTTAGAATCAATAATAGTCATTAGTGTTTTATGTTGACATTTTAGCTGATTAGAGCCCTTTCAAATCAGTTGAGAAAGTAAGATCTGGATGCCAGTCCGTTTACACCTTCATCCTTTTGAGACTTTTCAACGTTATCAGTTTGATTTAAAATTATTTGTTTATAGTTATCAGGAATTTTTTCTTTACATCTGTAAAATTTAAGTTTAGTATTTGAAAATGTAACATAGTTCCATTTCAGAAGTTAAAATTACGTTTGAAAACAGAAACGTTCCAAAGTGTTGATCCCATCCCTTTGCTTATTCCCAAATCATAGCCACCTTCTATGTTGTTGTTAAGCGCTGTTGAGTCAGTTTCCACTCATCACATGTTAAGCAGGTTGTCTCTTTTGGATGTTGTTACGTGCCTTCAGGTCAGTTCTGGCTCATAGTGACCCTATATAGCGTTTCTGAGGAGTGAGTGACTGACCTTGCAGTCCAGCGCTTATCTTAAACCATGGCACAAGGACTCACAGATAATTTTGTTAGATATTACTGAATCCCCCTCTGTAGGGGTGGTACCATTTTTCCCTTCCCACCGGCAATATTTAGATATTTCCTACAGCCTTAACAGAGTTTGCTGTTGCTTGCTTTTAGATTTTTTCCATTCTGATAGGTGAGAATTGGTATTCCATGGTAGCTTTTAAACATTTTTCCTTTATGAAGAGCATTAAGAAATTTTATTCATACTGTTAAAGGCCATTTGTATATTTTTTTCTCTTTTTATAAGTTTTGGGTCCTGGTGTGGCACTGTAGGATAAGCACTCGACTGCAAGGTCAGTTTAAATCCCAGTTTGATTGTTCAAACTTACCAGATGCTCCTCGGGAACCCATACAGTGTCTCTATGAGCCGAAACTGATTTGACAGCATTTAACAACATTTATAAGTTTTAAATTGTAAGGAATTATTAGTGACCTTTTTTTTTTTTTTTTTTTAATAAGTATTGTCAGATTCCCTGAGTGGCACAAATGGTTAAACACTCAACAACTGAAAGGACGGTTGATCAATCCCTCTGAGGTGGCTCAGAAGACAGGCTTGCTGATCTATTTCTGAAAGGGTTATAGCATTGGAAACCCTATAGAGCAGTTCTACTCTGCACTCATGGAGTTGACTGCACAATGGAATTGACTCATCAAAAACTAATAGTAGTCTACCATGACTTTAACTGGTCATTTCAGTGTCACATTCAACTCCCTGTCTTTATTGGTTGAGCTATATATTTGGTGGTGGTTGTGGTGGGTAAGTGCTGTCTAGTCAGTTCCAACTCATAGGCTGTAAATCTTTCTGGGACTAGATATAGAGTCTTTATCCTATACTTTACATTACTTGATATTTTACTGTTTCTATAGCTATGTTACTATGTTTGGCCAAAGGATGCTACCCCAGACCATACTGGGTAATTAATTATGCTTTATCCATATTGTCTTACTAGTAAAATTTGATTTTCAAGATATATCTAACAACTAAGGGTTTTGGATGAGGGGATGTGGCCCTTGGCTCTTACATATTTGAATTGAATTTAAAGGGAACGTTCCAATTGATCTTATTTAAGGCAAACATGCTATAAATGTCAATGTTTAGCCCTCTTACAGATGCTAGTTGGGTACTGAGCTAATGAAAGTCAGTGTGGTATTCTTTATCCCCTCTTCACAGCAAAATGAAAAGGAGAGCTTGCTGAAGGAAAGAGATCACATTTTGTCAACTTTGGGTGAGACAAAGCAGAACCTAACTGGACTTTGCCAGCAAGTCTGTAAAGAAGCCGCTCTAAGTCAAGAACAAATTCAGATCCTCGCCAAATATTCAGCCTCAGATTGCCCACTTTCATTTTTAATTTCTGACAAAGAAAAGAGTACTACTGATGGTGAACTGTCACTGATGTTACCATCAATTTTTAGCTTACCTGATGGACCGCCAGCTGTGCTGCCTGCCAGTGAACAAAGCTCTTGTTACTCTAATGCAAGAGACAACAAGGAATCAGGCTGTGAGCGCGTACAGGAGTTACGCCAGACGTGCACAACTGCCTCTGAGCACACCAGGCTTGAACAGTGTCGCCAAAGTGGAGGCATCTCAGATTTCTGTCAGCAGATGACTGATAAGTGTACTACTGATGAGTAAATGTGGATTTGCGTTTACTTCCTTCAAACCATCTGTTTTCTTACTGAAGTTTTGACTTTGTCTTCAAAACCTAATGCTGCCATCTTCTGTCTCTTAACATTGCTTTGGGGGGGATTTTTCTTACGTCAACCCTGACTTCTTGATTTCCACATGGTGCAGAAATGATGTACCTCTGAAATAACTGAAAAATCACATATGAAAATGCAGTAGACCTTTGAAAGTAGTATTTTAAAGCTTTATCACTATTAGTAGTCACTTTTCCCAGTATTTAAAATAAACATATTAAAGTAAGCATGAGAACTACAGCATATTAAGCAACAATGAACAATTTGAGACATTTACAGCTAGTTCTTTCCAAAGAAGCAGCCTGCAAAAGTTAATAATCAGACCTTTTTGCAGTATACCGAATAAAAAGTTCCCCCTACACTCTTAGAGTTTTGTTCTAATCAGAAGACTCTGGCCCTGTCCACTATATTGTTGTTGTTGTGTGCTGTGGAGTCAGTTCTGACTCATAGCGACCCTGTACAGGGTTTCCGAGGCTGTAAATCTTTACGGGAGCAGAAAGCCTCATCTTTCTCCCGCGGAACAGCTGGTAGTTTCGAACTACTGACCTTGAGGTTCACAGCCCGATTCGTAACCACTACGCTACTATGTTGTTGTTGTTATGTGCTGTGGAGTCGGTTCCGACTCATAGCGACCCTACACAGGGTTTCCGAGGCTGTAAATCTTTACGGGAGCAGACCGCCTCATCTTCCTCCCGCGGAACCGCTGGTAGTTTCGAACTGCTGACCTTGCAGCTAGCAGCCCGATTCGTAACCACTACGCTACCAGAGCTCCTTTAGAACTGCATTATTTGTGTAGGACTGCAATGTAAAAAATATAGAAATGATTTTGCTTGAATCCTAGAACTTTGCTTTGCAGCTCCTTCTAAAACTAGAAGTTGTTTGAACGTCATTGTGACTCCTAAGCTACATTGGGAATATTTAGTAAACAGGGCAGCTTGTTGGCCTCAGGTGGGGTGCTTTCCAATATTAACTATGGAAAATCTATCTGTATAAGCAGTAGATAATATCAATATCTCTGTTTTGTTTTCTCTTCAGTTTTTACCACATCTGGACCTATTGCTGACATTTTTGTCTCTTTGGAAAAAGATGGGACTCAGGATACAATGGGCATGAGTGGAAGAATGAATGCATTGGCTGCATTAGTTTAGAATCCTAGAGAGCTTCCTAAAGTACAAGGCTGTTTGCCTTTCCGCTATAGGTCACTGATGCAAGAAAACCAGACATAAGAGGGAACGAACATTGTTCACATTTACCAAGAGGGGTAATTGTTTGTTTTCCATTTGATTTTTGAAATTATGTGGTTTTCTTGTGAAAAAGATTATGGTTGATAAAAATATCTACAGTAACTATGTAAGGTTTTGAAATAGGATGAAACTCGGGGAAAAGTAGATCTTGTTCCATTGTGGTTTTGAATTTGAAAACCAGATTTAATTATTGCTCTCTTCATCTAATCTGATATGGTATTTGAGGGCACATTTTGACTTGAGCATTTTAAAATAATTCTTTGTGTTTACTCAATTGTATTATTAAATATGGCCTTTAAAATCTGAGTGCCTATCCCATAACATTTTGCAATGGTTTTTAGCCATTTTGGTGTTACAGACTGAGAGTCAAATGAAACTACTGGACCCTTTCAACATTAAAAATAAAATGCCTAAATTCACATTCACAGAAACATTTATAGAACCCAGTCTTAAAGGGTACAAAGAAGTAGTTTGTAGTGATTGGGTTAGATAGGACTTCATTTCAGATATCTGAATGAGACATTTCAGTAAATTGCACGCTAAGTTTAGCAAAGGGTCCATGTGGCTAACGTGAGGAGGGACAGCAGTCCACCAGGAATGAATGAGCTTAAAGCAATTGGACACTTAATGTGGCAGTAAATGGGGACCATTCTTAATATTTCACAGTAATTGGTCAAATGCTACCCTTTTTATGGTGTGTGTGTGTGTGTCAGTGTCAGAACAGTGGATTGTATGCTATCTCTGTAAGAGGAGGGCTTGTTTGTTTTCTAGAGGCTTTTATAAATACACTCAAGAATTTGTCAGGGAAATTGATAATTCTGTAATAATGTGTTCCAGACTCCAAAATAATTGTCTATAGATATTTCCCCATGTAGCTGTTTCTTTGATACTTATAATTTTCATTCTTCAACTTCTCAATATAAAATATTATAAAAACTTGGCTGGTTTACAAAATGTAAATTCTTATACAAGCCAATGGAATCCTTGATTTTCTACCTCAGTGTACTCAGCTATTTGTCATATCAGTTTGTATGTGCAAATGTCAAATAATCTTTTGCTTTCATTGTTTCTGTAAATATTTACTTTGAAGGTTTCTTACTATTTTATGATAAAATCAAGTTATCTACAGAGATTAAATATGACTTTTAAGGCACTTGGTTTAAATTTCTCTCTACATTTAAACAGTTCAGCATTATGGATTTATTTTAATGCTAATTTGATTATTGGCCAACTGTAATGTTTCTTAAAATATAGCATTACTTCTAATAGCCAGCATGTAATACAAGTAACTACACTACCTCACACACACATGATTTTTCAAGTTGTAATACAGATAGATAAAAACAATTTCATCTGTATTTTTGGCCATAAGATGAAGTTTTCTATATATTGCATAGCATTACACATTTATGCCTATTTTAGCATTAACTTCTGAAGACGTTTTTCTAAGAAAATTTGTTTCAAGTCGTTTAGTTTTGAGGCTGCCGAAGACAAATGACAGGATATAATGTGTATACAGTGTATACCTTTTCCTTCATGCAGGACTCTGAAAAGGCTATTTTTAGTTTGTACATTGCATATTTAAATGATCATTATTACTTGTTTCATGAACTGGCTTTTTCAGTTCTTGTTATGTCTAATTCAGTAAAGTAACATTACATTCAAATTTTTTTTTCCTTATTTCAGTTCTTTTGCAGTCACAAAATAATTTGCCTAATTGTTAGTTTGAAAACAAATGTGGATATAATCTCAGTTCTATAAGTATAAATGTTATAATTTAACTTGCTATAGCTTTAGGCTTAACCAATTAGAAGTAAGAAAACAATATTTAATGTAGTAGATGACGATACAGGTTGCATGTGGAACTTTAACCACATTAACAACTTGGGGAAAAGAAAGAAACAAATGACAATGTTATAATGAATTCTCAGGTAAATTCTTTTCAGTTATGAAACATTTATTTTGAATTTGTAAATATTTTAAATGTTTTATTAAGGCATGCAATAAACTATTCTTTGAGACCTGTTGGGCAGAATGAAAAATTACAGCCATAATGGTAAACAATGGCATACTGATTGTAAAATAAACAAAAATAATAACAGTCATTGATTTTTTTTGTATCTTTTATATAATTTTCTAGCAATGCAATAAAACTACTCACCTTATATATCCATATAAAGATCATGTTTCACTGAAAATACACTTTCAGAGTATTTAATTTACATTTTTTTCCTAATGTATTTACCCAAATGTAGCAAAACTATAAATGTTAGACATTGGTGGTAAATTTTGACAGTTAAATAAAATTCTCTAAAAGTACTGCTAATTGAATAGAGTTGTACATCCCATTCCCATTTTCTCACTTTAAAGAAAAGTCTGGTGATATATTTCTGAAAGAACATAACCACTGGAAACCTTGTAGAGTCCAGTTCTACTTGGACACACACAGGCTTGCCATGAGTCAAAATTGACTTGTTGACAACTGGTTTGATTTTGTTAGGTGAATGTACTAATTTTAGTCTTGATCAGTAATTGGTGTTCTTGTGGTATTTGTAATAAGTAAGTGGTTATATGTCTTGAGGGGTGGGAAAAAACAACACATTTAGTGGGGTTCAGGAAGCAGAGTCTGGTTTACTTTTGATTTATTTAATTTTAGTCTTTGTATAACAGTAGTGTGGCACTGTAGGTAAGCACTGGGCTGCTAACCACGAGGTCAACTGTCCAAACCCACCAGCTGTTCCTTGGAAACCCTATATGGGGTCACTATGAGTTGGATTCACTCTATAGCACTTAACAATGATCATATTTTTATTCAAATGGCACATATCTTCTACACTTAGCCAGCTGCTTCCTCAAAGGAGATATTTTTCAAAGCGTACTATGCTATTTTATTTTTTTACAGTAGCATAAGACATTTAAAAAAAAAAAATCTTCTGAGTGAATTTAACAGTGTAACATTCAACTTCTCACCAGGGTGTTGGGAAGAGAGTGGCACAGATAAAGGATATAGCATCTAGTGCAGGGGTGGGGAACGGCCTGCCCATGGGCCATATGAGACCAACTCAATTATTTGGTCTGACCCTGCCAAGGCAACCACAGTTCCAGCCATCACATTAGTGGTAGTGGTTATGTGCCGTGGAGTTGGTTCCAACTTATAGCAATCCTGTACAGGGTTTCCGAGGCTGTAAATCTTTACAGGAGCAGAAAGCCTCATCTTTCACCTGTGTAACAGCTGGAAATTTTGAACTGCTGACTTTGAGGTTAGTAATCCAACTCGTAACCGCTATGCTACATGTGTGACCAAATATAGCAGGGTATTTTTTAAGTTGATAATTTTGTATGGCTGGTGAATGATAAAAATTTTGACAGAAAAAAGATTCCCCACCCCTAATCTCTAATTAGTAAGGCCAGGCTAAACATCCACCAATGCTCAGCACAGCCCTCACCACAAAGGATCATCTGCCCTGCATGACATTCTAAAGGAATTAAATAAACTTTAAAATATTTTCTTAAGTAAAATAAGTCCAGAAGTTTTTCTAACAAAATTTTTTACTTGGATCAGCTTTAACTAAAGCCTAAGTAGGTGAGTTTTCAGAGCTGTAGCTGGAACTATCCTGAAATAATTGTTCTGTCAAGACCCCAGAAGAAACTAGGACCAAGGTTTAAAAGAATCTGAAGAGTTACCTACTGG